ATAGTGGTAATAACGTTGATGCAAAAAAAATTCGGAAAATTATACTTTTTACTTACATAGGTGTTGGCGACATACCTGTTGAAGGCTTTTTTACTACAAATTTAACTTATTATATTTTTTGATTGAAGGATTTAATATCGAACTTCAAAACTTATACAGATAGTTTAAACCGTCATTGAGGAACACTTTTGGCAAAAAAAAATTACAAATATTGTAATTATAGTGGGACAACGGGTTGAAAACTGTTTTAGAACGACGTTTCTGTTACTTAGATTATTAGGTAGAAGGAGGTTATTTTTTCTTTTGCAAATGGGCGCAACTATTTATTAAAAGAGCGGTCTCAACGTTGATACAAAAAAAATTCGGAAAATGTTAATTTTTACTTACATAGGTGTGGGCGACATACCTGTTGAAGGCTTTTTTACTACAAATTTAATTTGTCATATTTTTTGATTGAAGGATTTAAGATCCAACTTCAAAACTTATACAGATAGTTTAAACCGTCATCGAGGAACACTATTGGCAAAAAAAAAATTACAAATATTTTAATTATTGTGATTGAACGGGTTGAAAACTGTTTTAAAACGACGTTTCTGTTACTTAGATTATTAGGTAGAAGGAGGTTATTTTTTCTTTTGCAAATGGGCGTAACTATTTATTAAAAGAGCGGTCTCAACGTTGATACAAAAAAAATTCGGAAAATGTTAATTTTTACTTACATAGGTGTGGGCGACATACCTGTAAAGGCTTTTTTACTACAAATTTAATTTGTCATATTTTTTGATTGAAGGATTTAAGATCCAACTTCAAAACTTATACAGATAGTTTAAACCGTCATCGAGGAACACTTTTGGCAAAAAAAAAATTACAAATATTTTAATTATTGTGATTGAACGGGTTGAAAACTGTTTTAAAACGACGTTTCTGTTACTTAGATTATTAGGTAGAAGGAGCTTATTTTTTCTTTTGCAAATGGGCGCAACTATTTATTTAAAGAGCGGTCTCAACGTTGATACAAAAAAAATTCGGAAAATGTTAATTTTTACTTACATAGGTGTGGGCGACATACCTGTTGAAGGCTTTTTTAATACAAATTTAATTTGTCATATTTTTTGATTGAAGGATTTAAGATCCAACTTCAAAACTTATACAGATAGTTTAAACCGTCATTGAGGAACACTTTTGGCAAAAAAAATTACAAATATTGTAATTATTGTGATTGAACAGGTTGATAACTGTTTTAAAACGACGTTTCTGTTACTTAGATTATTCGGTAGAAGGAGCTTATTTTTTCTCTTGCAAATGGGCGAAAATATATATTTAAATAGTGGTAATAACGTTGATGCAAAAAAAATTCGGAAAATTATACTTTTTACTTACATAGGTGTTGGCGACATACCTGTTGAAGGCTTTTTTACTACAAATTTAACTTATTATATTTTTTGATTGAAGGATTTAATATCGAACTTCAAAACTTATACAGATAGTTTAAACCGTCATTGAGGAACACTTTTGGCAAAAAAAAATTACAAATATTGTAATTATAGTGGGACAACGGGTTGAAAACTGTTTTAGAACGACGTTTCTGTTACTTAGATTATTAGGTAGAAGGAGGTTATTTTTTCTTTTGCAAATGGGCGCAACTATTTATTTAAAGAGCGGTCTCAACGTTGATACAAAAAAAATTCGGAAAATGTTAATTTTTACTTACATAGGTGTGGGCGACATACCTGTTGAAGGCTTTTTACTACAAATTTAATTTGTCATATTTTTTGATTGAAGGATTTAAGATCCAACTTCAAAACTTATACAGATAGTTTAAACCGTCATCGAGGAACACTTTTGGCAAAAAAAAAATTACAAATATTTTAATTATTGTGATTGAACGGGTTGAAAACTGTTTTAAAACGACGTTTCTGTTACTTAGATTATTAGGTAGAAGGAGCTTATTTTTTCTTTTGCAAATGGGCGCAACTATTTATTCAAAGAGCGGTCTCAACGTTGATACAAAAAAAATTCGGAAAATGTTATTTTTTACTTACATAGGTGTGGGCGACATACCTGTTGAAGGCTTTTTTACTACAAATTTAATTTGTCATATTTTTTGATTGAAGGATTTAAGATCCAACTTCAAAACTTATACAGATACTTTAAACCGTCATTGAGGAACACTTTTGGCAAAAAAAAATTACAAAATATATTGTAATTATTGTTATTGAACGGGTTGAAAACTGTTTTAAAACGACGTGTCTGTTACTTAGATTATTCGGTAGAAGGAGCTTATTTTTTCTCTTGCAAATGGGCGCAAATATATATTTAAAGAGCGGTCTCAACATTGATACAAAAAAAATTCGGAAAATTATACTTTTTACTTACATAGGTGTGGGCGACATACCTGTTGAAGGCTTTTTTACTACAAATTTAATTTGTCATATTTTTTGATTGAAGGATTTAAGATCCAACTTCAAAACTTATACAGATAGTTTAAACCGTCATTGAGGAACACTTTTGGCAAAAAATAATTACAAATATTGTAATTATTGTGATTGAACAGGTTGATAACTGTTTTAAAACGACGTTTCTGTTACTTAGATTATTCGGTAGAAGGAGCTTATTTTTTCTCTTGCAAATGGGCGCAAATATATATTTAAATAGTGGTAATAACGTTGATGCAAAAAAAATTCGGAAAATTATACTTTTTACTTACATAGGTGTGGGCGACATACCTGTTGAAAGCTTTTTTACTACAAATTTAATTTGTCATATTTTTTGATTGAAGGATTTAAGATCCAACTTCAAAACTTATACAGATACTTTAAACCGTCATTGAGGAACACTTTTGGCAAAAAAAAATTACAAAATATATTGTAATTATAGTGGGACAACGGGTTGAAAACTGTTTTAAAACGACGTTTCTGTTACTTAGATTATTCGGTAGAAGGAGCTTATTTTTTCTCTTGCAAATGGGCGCAAATATATATTTAAAGAGCGGTCTCAACATTGATACAAAAAAAATTCGGAAAATGTTAATTTTAACTTACATAGGTGTGGGCGACATACCTGTTGAAGGCTTTTTTACTACAAATTTAGCTTATTATATTTTTGGATTGAAGGATTTAAGATCCAACTTCAAAACATATACAGATAGTTTAAACCGTCATTGAGGAACACTTTTGGCAAAAAAAAATTTCAAATATTTTAATTATTGTGATTGAACGGATTGAAAACTGTTTTAAAACGACGTTTCTGTTACTTAGATTATTAGGTAGAAGGAGCTTATTTTTTCTCTTGCAAATGGGCGCAAATATATATTTAAAGAGCGGTCTCAACATTGATACAAAAAAAATTCGGAAATTGTTAATTTTGACTTACATAGGTGTGGGAGACATACCTGTTGAAGGCTTTTTTCTATGTTTGCGATGTGGATTAGGCCTACATCCGTAGGGGACCCCACAATAAAAAACGCACCACGCTTTTAAGCAACATGACACATATGCAATGTGATATTGTCCTTTAACAAGCATAGCTGCATAGGTGGTGTGGAAACTTACCTACTCTACACTGCAGTGATCCCACATCGAGTACATTCAAGTATAGAATGGATTTTACAAATAATAAAAAAAAAACAAATATTTTGTAATGAATGACAAAAATATAAAAGGTTATACCTATTCAATAATCAATATTCAATACACTTCAATACAGTAGCGTAACTACCAGGGGGGTAGGGGGGTCATATCCTCCCCCCCGGACAACATTTTGTACACAATACAACATCAACATCAATATAATAATATGAATATATGTGTATACTGAATGTCTATTAAAAATTGTATATCCCTCCCCTTGAAAACATCCTAGATAGGTACGCTACTGCTTCAATAGCAAATTATAGACAAGGGGACCATAACCAAACCTAACCTAACCATATTACCCCTAATTTTTTAATAACATCATTGAATTTGTATTGACTATAATTTTATGCCATAGATATTTGGATACATGGACGATATATTGACGACTGACGATGTGAAAGCTACTCGGTATGTCTGGTACTCTGGTAAGTGGTAATGACAAATTAAATTTAAGAAATGCGATAACCTTTCCAGGAATCCGTGGTTTCTAAATCGTGCCATACCGATCGACGTTGTTAGGTACATACATATTTAATATAAGATATCCATACAAAATATTTATCAATGTAAATTTTAGGTCTTAAGTGTGAGATACTGAGACCCTGGACATTAACCCGTTTTGCCCCCAACCTGTAACGCTAGCTCTGAATACCTATAGGTAGCCGATAGATCACTCGTGCTAGGTAGATTAGATACACATACTTCGTACAAATGGTACCATTGGTACCTACCAAAATAAATTACACCAACAATATTAGTGACAACCTACTTTTGTGATATTATATCATTTAAGCCAATTGTAATTATTTATTACTTATTAGCAAGGCTATAGATATTCATTAATCCATTATTAAATGACCGCTTTCAATCCCCCACTAATATAATTTATTTCCATCATTATTAAGACTTGTTTATTCTAAGCCTAAATTTGTATCCATCATAAAAGGAAATCAAAGTTTTAAGAAAAGATAATTAATATTAATATTGAATCTAATGCATTATATTTCTATAAAAAATACCATGACAATTATGTTTAAGTATTAACAATTAACATTGAACGAGTAATAAATATAAATGTGTTCGTACAGTGTAAGATATTTCTTTTCATAAATATTCTAAAAAGAAAATTATACTGTTAAAAGATTTAAAAACTGAAGTAGTTAAAATGTTAACGTTTATTAATAAACTTAATTAATACAAAAATGAATACATCAAAATAAGGTGGAAATTTCATTATTTTTTACTTAAAAATTAATTTGAGTAGTATTTTGAGTGTTACACAAGGCAATATAATAATTTACAATACACTACCCGATAGTATAGTTGTATGTAAAATAAGAAGCGCATAAGAACATTATAGTAAAATCAAACATTATTAACAATTACTGAACCACCATGGTCAGCTTTTTTATCGACGCTTTGACTTTCAACCTCTTCTGTCATAGGGGTAACTCCACCTTTAACTTGTATGTTATGCTTATTCTTGAATTCATTGATTTCAATTCCCTTTTTAGTTAATTGTTCATTCAATGTCTTCACAATTTTACCCATCTATAACAAATTAATACAATGATAGTTATCTCAAATATTATTTATTTATTATGAGTTTAAGTAAATAATTAAGAAATTACTGCTCATTTTTGTTCATTTCCTATTATATAAATTTATCATAGAGTCATTGATAATTATTAATTGATACCAATTTGTCAAACACATAAAAAAAAAAACATAAGCCAGTTTTTTTTTCAAAAATTATTTAATAAATATTCAATAAATAAAGTTTAAAAATAACTTTTATCCTCTATTACATTTTTAAATAAGATTATTACATAAACCAATTTATGTTCAAAACAATAAGCGGCATACAATCTGGTTAAAAATCAAAAGGATTAAGACAGTAAGTAACAAGGTTCAAAGTGTTTACACCAAGAAATGTAATCAACATTTTTTATATTTCTGGATTATGATTCATCAAGTAATATATTCAATGATAAAAATTAATTTGTTTGGCTTAAATTAATTATTTTTAAAGAAATTAGATCATTATAATAAAACGCTATGCTGAGACTCTTCTTAAAAAGGCTTTTATTTGTCAAGTTATTGCAGAACCACCCATTAGATAATCTTTTTGTAATATTTATAATGAAAAATAATAACTAAAAAAGTAAAAGTAAAACTTAATGAAAGTGTATAAAACCAACTTCTCCTCTATTTTTAATTAGTGTAGGTAGTACATCACAAATCTTCCTTTCAACTAACACTCCGCCTATCAGTCTGAAACATTTTCTTTCATCGTCCAACTTGTTTAGAGTGTCAATAACAATGCTGTAACAAAATTAGGAGATATTAACATTTATAACCCATGTATATTCAAAAGATTCATGCTATAATATATGTACAAACCTATGTTCATTGAGATCGAGCTCGATTTCTGATAATTTTGTAGCAAGTTGTCTTTGTTCCGTTCGTAAGGCATTAAAAGTGTTGTGAATCAATTCTTCTTCAGTAGGTTTCTTAACTTTGACTAATTTTTCCATTTTGAAAGGTTAATAATGTATGGAACTATTATTATTTTTAATATAACACAAGCATATAAATTATAAAATATAATAACAATTCACAGTTTCTTCAACTAGGTATACCGACGTTCTCTATATACTCAGTAGCACAGTTGTACTACACATGAACAGAAGTGGGTAGTGGGTACAAAATGTACAACATACTTTACCTATCCAAAAGCTTATCAATTATTTGTAGGTTATGCAGCGACCTTATTATTACCGCATAAGACCACTCAATATTATCATAACATTGTTATTTGCCGGATGTCGAATGATAACAGTTTCATTTTCATATTATCGAAGTGTGGAGCATGAACCACATTTGAACCACAGAATTTCATCAATTCTAAAGATATTTTCACGCATTTTAATTTTAAATCATGTCTGATAGCCAATATACTCAAATTTTTAACAGAAATTCGGTAAGCGATTTGAATGTCTTAAGCTTAAATACTGTGTATTGTGTAGTGATTGTAATTTATATTTTTGGGAATTTAAAGGTGGACGACGTTGATGATTCAGATCTCGTCAATAGTTATGACAAACAGTATGAAAAAGTGAAAAAGAAGGCCAAGGCGAAACTACCCCCTATCGATTCAATGTCTGAGCTGTGTTTAAACGATGGAGTAATTATTTTTATTTGAATATATTAATTAAATATATACCTGATCTGATCATTTATAATATGTCATTCCATAAATGTATGAAATTTGTTTATATTCTGTTGTGATTTACCAAGGACGCTCACCCCCTTTTTTTTAATAATGGAGTTTTAAATTTCCGATTTTTGGAAACTTAAAATAAACTTGAGCACATTTATGTTTACCTGGGATTTTTTGTACCTCCTAAAAGGGGTTCTGTGGTGATGCAAACATTTGTGTTTCAAAATTGGAACCCCCTTTTTTCCATCAATTGGTGAGCAGATAATGATCTAGATTCATTGTTTTAGATTTACAGTAGAACTTTGATTATCTGGACTAATTAATGTCAAGGGTGGTCCGGATGATTGACATATGTCATATTACATATTTATATGACGTTATAACAATTGACAGACTACTAGTAATACTTATTCTTTATCTAATCTACGATTATGAGGAACGACGAAATACAATTACGATTTACGATTTACTAAACTTTTTTCTCGTCCTGTTGATTGACGTTCAGATAATTGGAGTTCTACTGTATCAAAATTTCGAGAATAATTATCTGCTCAGCAATTTACAGAAAAAAGGGGGGGGGGGCTCCCATTTGAAAAACCAAAGTTTGCATTACCACATAACCCCCTGATTGGAACAAAAAATCTCAGGTATATGAAAATATGTTCTTCAAGTATATTTAAAATTATACTTAATGAAACTTTACTTATTTTATAGTTAAATAAAGAACAAATTTGAATCACTAATATTCTAATGAGTATATTTGTCATTATATTTTGAATTAAGTTAATTTAAGACTAATAATATCTATTATATCTATTATTATTGAAAAAAATGACAAACACTGAGTATTTAAATTGATTATCTTAATACATATTTAATACAACGTTAAACTATTAAATTTATATGAATAATGATTGATATTCCATCGTATAATTGCTTAATATGTTGATGTTCATTTTAGGAAAGCAGTGAATCTATTGTGAAAGACAAACCAAAGAAAAAAGTAAGTTCAATATTGTAAAATATATTTTTTACAAATATATATATATATGATATATTATATTCAAATGTTTAACACACATAATATATTTAGCTTACAACAATCATAAATACAATAATATGAGATAAAATTAAAATAAGATAGAGGTAATTTTCATTATTGCCTATTGGTAACCCAGAACCCCTCAGTTATAATGGGAACCAAGGCCGGATTAAGAACCTATTGGGCCCCGGGCTTGAAATTTCATATGGGCCCTTTTGACAAGGCACGCTTTAAAACAAACTGGCTACGCCCGCAGGAAGATACATTTTTCTAACTATTTCACAAATGGCAATTGCATTATAAAATTATAAAATGAATAAGTAAGTTCGGAAGTATATGTAATTTATATGTCTATAAAGTATATAACCACTATTCACTAATTGTAATACTTCATATTTCATTAATTTAATTTCAAATTTTCATACCAACTTTTAAATTTATTAACATTATACTTATTTACAACAAATATTAACTAACAGTTATTAAATAACAGTAAAATACGCCTTTCCTACAAAAAGGTATTTACTATTTAGTTGTTTTTGTCGATAAAAAAAAATGGTTTTTAAAATATAGGAAAACTATTCTTTAAAATCACTGAAAAATGTGTATCAGCTTAAAATTGTTTGGGCCCCTTTCATTTTGGTACTTGAAAGGGCCCCGGGGCTTCCGCCCCGGCTAGACCCCCCCTTAATCCGGCCTTGATGGGAACTATTGTCATAATAATATTTATATTTAGAGTTTTTTGAGCCATTTCACTGTTGGTGCATTCAAGTCATGAAGGTCTTGTAGGCTCCCTAGGAATGAGTGTAAGCTACACTCCGCAATGACGGGAGACACTTTGTCTATCTAACATAATATCCATAAACCATAGTGTCTTTGGATTGTCTTGCTATTCAGGTGAAATATAATGAATTTAGCTGGATTAGGGCTTGAGTTTCCATTTTCAAAAGTATTCTTGGATAGTCTAAAACTTCTAATACTTTTTATTATTACCTTTTCACTTATAGAGATATATTAAATATATATAAATATCTTTTTTATTTTATTATTAGACTCTTGTAGTCTTGTCTTGCGCAGGATGTGGTGTTTTATTATACATCATTATTTATACATTAGAAAGAAAAAAATCAATTCTCATTGTTCATTATTAGTCAAACTAAATTAAAATGTCTTTAGTTATAATAACTTTATTATGGCGAGGGACACTGTTAATTTTTTAATATTGATCGAACATAAAATAATTTTATATCACTGTATAATACATTTTTATAACTTTTCTAGGTTAATGCTAATAAGAATCATCAAACTGAATCAACAAATAGATATGAGGTATATTATATTTAATTACATAATTTGTAAATTCTTCTAAAATTTCACATTAAAAATGTTTTCTGTCTATTTTAATTAAGAGGATGTCAGCGCACTATTTGTCTCTCTCTCTGACCTATGTGCAACATAATAAATTGAAATTTATGTTATTTCTTTTAATATTAGAATGAATAAAACCTATTTTCAAACTTAAAGTTACTAAAATTACCTATATCTCTACATCACTATTTTATGATATTTTATTTTTTATGTATGGTATGAGTGTGTAAATTTTTACAATTTAAAAATGCTTATAAATTGTATAAAAATTAAAATATCGTAAATAGCTAATGTAGGGACACAGGTAATGTTCTTAGATCAAAGTTTGACAATAAGTGAATTTACTCTAATATTAAAAATAACAACACAGGGTTTATTCTGCTAAACATATATTTGCTATGTTGGGTGAGACCGCCTGGGTCAGAGAGAGAAAACAAATGGTGCGCTGATATCCTCTTAAGAGGACTTCACACCCGCATATGTTGTGTCCGTCTTTCACATGTACAACATTACAAATGTTCGTTCACCAGTTTCAATAGTGTGCTGTTAGTTTTGATATTAGAGTGAATATTATCAAACTTTTAGGTAAGAACATTATCTGTGTTATCTCGTTGGTTTTTTATTATATTTTAGTTTTTAAGTGAGTTATGAGCATTTTCAAATATTAATATTTTACATACTCATAACTCACTTAAAAATTAAAATATCACAAAACACCTACTAGAGAACACAGTTAATGCTCTTACCTAAAAGTTTGATAATATGTCAATTCACTCTAATATTAAAACTACCAGCACACTATCGAAACTATTGAATGAAAATGTGGTGTGTCGTGAATGTGTAAGACAACATATTTTGTGGGTGCAATGTCCTCTTAAGCCTACAGACTTTTAACATTAAAAAAAAAAATAAATAAATAAATTCTAAATACATTTCAAACAATAAAAATAATATTATGTAATAATTAATAAGTGACTTAATGTTTTTTTTTTTTTATTTGTCTTTAGGATACAGAAATCCTTTTCCCACCACCCCCACCACCGCCAGACAGTATAAAAAATTTACCTAAGACTGAGAGGGAAGCTCTCACATCAATGCTGATGTCATATTATATGAGTGGATTTCATACTGGTTTGTATGCTGAAATATTTTTTTGCCATAAACATCACATTTATTATAATTTATTCATATCATTATCATATTATATTATCGTTGTTATTAATATTTGGGTCAATACCCATAGACCAGTATGAATAGGTTTGTGGTAACAATAGACAATAACTTAGTGGCGTTCTCATGAATTTTCAATATGTTGGTGAGGGATTATGGAGAATTTGTAGGAATATATGTAGGGGGGCAACTGGAGCACAAAAAAACAGGTGCGGCCAATTTCTTAAGAAACCATGTTAAGCTAGTCTAAAAAAAAGATGTATTCTATAGTACTTTTATTTACCATTGTTTTATTCTATTTTAATTATCTAATGCCAGTTTATATGAACAATCACTAAACATTTAACGAATCAATAGTGAGCTAACGAATAATCCCTTAAACATAATTTAGTGACCCGTGATTGGTCCATTAAATTCTATGAACCATTAAATTAATAAATTCATCGTGCAATCTGACATGAGTATACATAATTTTAAAACAAACAAAAATAATCATTTCTGAAATAATTAAAAAAATGTTTGATTTAGGTTTCGATGAATTATACAGCATTTTAACATTTTATTCATCAGTAATGATTTCTTTTTAATAAAGGACTTTACTAATGGCCAATACTGCCAAAATAGTGTTAAATATAACAAATATTTATATTGTATTCAAATGTTTAGCATATACTTTTACTTAAGTACAGTACAGTACCTAACAATCCTTTAAAACAGAGGTGGGAAACCAGGCATGTGGCCTCATTGAAACTTTATGTGGCTTGCGAGTAAAATTTATAATTTGTATAAAAATTGTGAAATAAGATAGTAATAGTATGGACTGGAAACTGCGGATTAAAATGTTGTTTGTAACAAACCTAACAATTATGAACTTAATTAAACTAAATTTGATATGACTATACATATTTAAGTTTAAAATCAAATAAGGTATACCACTATACCTATATTATACCTGTATTCAAATTTTAGCCCATGAAATATTGAACATATATTGTTTGGTCTTTGACCTCAAAAAGTATTCTGACTCCTGCTTAACAATAATAAAATAATAATTTATTTATGTCTCTAATTGAAATATTGTTTCAGGATATTATCTGGGAATGAAACAAAAAAATTCTGAAAACTGAAGTTATACGGATCAATCATTCCTAATTTCCAAATGGGTGAACCTATTTGTGAAAATTAAAAAAATGTTTTGCTTGCATCTAATTAAATGTTAAATATTATTTTGTATTATATCAAATAAGTATTGTAAGATGTAAAACTATGTAAGTATATTATTTTTGTCTTATCATATTAAATTTATTGGATTTGTATTGATAAAACCTTTTGTTTATGAACAAAACTTTCATGATTTTGATCCTTCAATCATTGTATTATAGTCCAGCATCCTATGTTTTTATTCGGCTGTCTTATTAGACTTTAACTAACTTTTACATAATGCCCTGTTTGCCTGCATCTACCTATAAAACTATAGTAAATCAACATACTGAATATGCTTAGAATAGAAGGCATAGTAGGAAAATAGAGTTTAGTAGAATAAAGAACATAGAAGAAGCCTATACAAAGATAAGGACTTGGTAAGTAATAATTGGGACATCAGGTAATCCTTGGAACAGTGATATTAGTTAGCTATGTCAACCAATCCTTCCGTCACCGATACCAGACATGAGAAAAAAAAACTTGGTATAAAATCATTAATAAAAAAAATTGTTTTTTGTTCTTTTGAAAATAGTAATAGTCAATATTATTTTATAATAATTCATAGAAATATATCTTTTTATTAATTATTAGTTGTTCTTAAAGATTAATTTAAAGTTAACACAATTTTTAATTAAGGTACAACTATCCAATTAATATAATTTACTGTGTATAAAATATAATAAACGTTAAAAGTTTAAAGTACCCACAAATAATATTTAAATAACAAAAAAATTTAAATTGTTATTCTTCGTTTAAATACTTAATTACGTCCGAATTCGAACTTCAAATTTCCGTACCTGTGTAAAACCTGTGTGTATATATTCTTTAGAATTGTTGGTATGATAGTAAATAGTTTTTATTTTAAGCACATAAACATATATTGTGACTGTATTTTTAATATTTATCAATTGCTATATCCTATATGAACATTAAACAACTTATGAGCAGGACAATGAATTAAATGCACTAAAAAGTTTTAAATATGCACTAAAAATTCACAAATATACACTTAGAATTCAAAAAATATATATTAAAATAAATATAGTATTTATTTAAACTGTTGGAATTAATGAATAATAATTATAAAGGTGCTCTGGCGCTCTGCTGTACAGTAGGTTACGAGTGGGTCACTGTATAATGGATGGTATTAAATTTGAATTCAATGATATAATATCATTGTATAAGAAAAACGATTCTGAGCGAAAACGGTTAGTCAGCACTCAGCCTATGATATTACGAAGTATATTTCATTATACTTATATGGCCTGTTTTACAATCATAGTTTAAACTTCGGTTAAGCCTAACCCACTGATTTTACCGGTCGAATTCGGTGATTTAACCTTAGTTTAACGATTGTAATACTGGCCTTAAGGCAAATAAAGTAATATACATAAAACCTATTTACGTGGAATATTATTGTTTTAAATTTTCAATCCTTAGCTATAAAAGTTAAACATTTTATACATTTTTAACTATAAAATCATTTTTTAATTTTAAATTTGATAAATGTCAAAATTTGAACTTTAAATGCTTATAAGTTATAAGAAAAAATTGTGCCTATGTATTTTTGTATTTTTCAACTACTCTGGAACAATATATCAGGAGCCTTGTATTAAATTTTTACGTTTTTTTGCCCATCAAATAAAATTTTATTAATATTTATAGAAAAAAAAACTAAAAAATTGAAAACTGACAATGTCCGTAAACAATTATAAAAGACTTAAAATATTTTCAAAATTGTATGGTGTATAGAAATTAGAAAATGAAAATATAAACATTCAGTGAAATTTTCATGTATCTACAGTTATTCGATTTTGAATTACAAGAAAATAACAAAATCTCTACATGAGAAATCGAGTGAATATCCAATCTTGTAAAAAAAATCAACTTTAAACACTCATAAAAATTTAATTTGATTTGCTTGTTGACATTTTTTGTTTGATGAATGTAGACAAACTTATGAAGAATCTTGCAATACATTTTCAAATCTTAGATTTAAAAGAAAAAATTTGTTTGAATACTTAACTCAAAATAATTTGCAAAATTCCGTGACTTTTCGGTATTTTGTCAAAATTTGAACTTTAAATGCTTATAAAAAAGAAACTGTGACTAAGGATTTTTAATATTTTTCAAATGTCATTGTAACAATATAATAAGAGATTTGTATTAAATTTTCAAGCTTTTTGACCCGACTAGTACAATGCTATTGACATTTAAAGAAATAAAAACTAATACAATTGGAAACTGAAAATATCCCTAAACAGTTAAAAACAAATCAAAATATCTTGTAAATATTGTCAATTATCATGTATAGAAAATGCAACTATAAACAACCAGTGAAAGTTGCATGTATAATATATACGTACATTTGTTTCAGATTTACACCAAAAATCAAAATCGATTTTGTCGAAAACCCTCTTAAAAATTCCTGTTTTGTTAAAAAATTGATGTTGTTTTTCCGGCGCTTTTGAAATCTATTGGGAATTTTAGATTCTGAGGGGAGCGATAAATGTGGGTATCGGTTTTACTATGATGTGTGTTATTTTTTTAAAAATTTTTTTTTGTGTCTGTCATTTTAAGACAATAAAAGTGTTTAAATTTTCTTCAACAGTACGCCAGTGGCGCCCATGATTTAAGATATACTTAACTAAGGTATATCTTAAATCGTGGTGGCGCCCAACCCTATTACTAGGTGTAGCGGTCGCTATACCTTGAAAATAAGGGGTGGGTAGGTATAATAACATAAAATAATTAACTTGAAATATGTTCATTATTAATCACAGATTATATTGATTGATACCTCAATATTTACTAATATTATCAATTAAAATATGATAAAATGTGTGAATAAAATAATATAATTTTGAGTTCGTGAGGGGGCGAGTAAAATTATTTCTTGCTACACCTGAAAAATATATCTTGGGCGCCACTGACAGTACCTACCTATCTTTCCTAATATAGGAAAGTGAATCTATAGTTGGTACTTTGGGATAAAAAGTGAAAATGTCCTTGTAGTTTTTGACTTATTTTGAGCTCTTTACTGACATTTTCAGTGTCCAATTTGTTTAGTTTTCTAAAACTTTATTCTATAAATATCAATAGAAAATAAAAATGTATTTTATTTAGTAAAAAAACTTGACAATTAATAGTAGGCTCCAAAGTATACGGTTTCAAAGACAAATGGAAAATATTAAAAGTCCAGTCACAATTTTTTTTTTTCTAATCATTTAAAGTTCAAATGTTGACAAAATACGTATAAAATTCGCGAAAATGTGCAAATTATTTTGAGTTGAGAATTCATAAGAATTAAATTTATTTAAATCTAAAATTTGAAAATGTAATACAAGATTCCTCATAAGTTTTCCTACCTTTATCAACAACAAAAAAAGTTAACAAATCACTTTAAATTTTTATGAGCGTTTACAAGTTCATATTTTTACAAGATTTGAATATCCAATCTTTTCATATATAATAATATATATATAATAATTTCATTTCTCAAGTAGGTAGGTAGACATTTTGTTATTTTGTTGTAGGTAATTCAAAAACGAATAACTGCAGTCTGTAGATACATGGAAATTTCACTGATTGTTTATATTTTTTTTTTCTATACTCCGTAAAATTTTGAAAATATTTTGACTCTTTTTGAGATGTCCGTAAACATAATATAATTGTTAGTTTTAAATTTTTTTAGTTTTTTTTTCTATAATTGTCAATACATATAATATACAACATTATGTTAAAAACCTATAGCCTGATTACCAGTACCATTTAAACATTTATGAGATTTTTTTTTTACCCAATACGGCAATAGGTATCCAGGTAATTAATTACGAAAATATATTGTATATAAAACAGGTAGGTACTTAATACTTATAGATAAAATATTAAGGCCCATCGTAATAATATGTGGTGCCGATATTGTAGAGTCTTGACTCTTGGCCACTGCCCACTAGTAGATAAATACTAAGTACTATGTAAGAATTAAGAAGTAACTAGGTACCTAGTACCTACCTAATACCTATTATCAAGCCCGGATTAAGGATCAATTGGGCCCCGGGACACCATACACTTTATGGGCCCTCTTTCAACTTATACTTCAAAAAAATTGTAACATTATAGTATTATACATATTACATATTAACGAGTAACGACTTTATATTATTGTATAATTTTTTAATATACAAAAAATATACAGAGTGTATCTATTATGTCATTGTACGCGGGTTTTTTTTTTTACCAATTGGCAATTAAGGATCGATGATATGGAATTTCGTTAAAACAAAAAAAGACGTGTTTCTTTATTTTTAACAGGCAATTTTAAAAATTTTCAAATACGCAGTTGTACCAATAATAAAATCAACTTTATTTTTTCAAATGGTACATATGGACATAATTGGTAACCACTATTTTTTTATGGATTCTGTTAAAGCTTTTTTCTGAACATTTTGATAGTCAAATGATCAATTTTGACTAACCTAACTGTGTGGCGCGCCACCCAAAGGAGGCGTGAGCACTTATCAAGGGCGGCGCGGCGCGCGGTTGGAATTTTATACATATTGTTATTTTTAGATCAATTTTATGTCCGATATACATTTTGTAGAGACGATTATCTTTTCTTATACATACACGACACACGTTTATTACAAAATAATAAATTATAGTTATTCAGTATTATAAATTAGTATTATAAATTAAGAAATAAAAATTTCGCGATTCAGCTTGATGAAGCAACCGATAATAATAAAGACGCATAGGTATTTGATATGTTATGTTCGGTTTATGGATGGAGTAGATATTATAGAAGAATTATTATTTTGTAAATCTATATTAAGTGGTACTAAAGCTAAAGACCTATTTGATATCACTAATAATTTTATGGATCATAATAATATTAAATGGGAATACTGTTTGGGCGTGTGTA